TCACACCACCACCACCACTACTACTACTACTACTACTACTACTACTACTACTACAAACTTCTGCCTAATCTTACTACAACTGCCACTAATACTAACTAATGTAACAAATTATACTATGATAATAAAATATCGCATACGTTAACACGTCAATAAATGTAATAATAATAATAATAATGATAATGAAGATAATAATATTAATAATAATAATAATCATTATTATTATTATGACAAATAATAATAATAATAATGATTATTATTATGACAAATAATATTAATAATGACAAATAATAATAATAATAATAGTAAAAAACATTGACGCTCGTATAATGCATGGCCGATGAAGTATTAATAATGATGGTTATAATAATAATAATAATATTAATAATAATAATAAAAACATTAATAATAATAATAATAATAATCAGCTCGTAACCACAAAGGGAGGAAATAAAAAAAAATTGCGGCGCAATAGAATAACAATAATAATAACAAAAATAACAATAATAACAACAACAATGCTAAACAATAATAATAGTAATAGTAATAATAAGAACAACAACACAAACACACTTTACGATGACAGCAGATGCTTATTGTTGGTATGGTAGTAATTAGTTTGTTTACAACTGCCCACATAAACAACAATAGCTACTGCAACAACAACAACAACAATAATAATAACAGTAACAACAATAACAACAATGATAATAATAAGAAGAATAGTAATAGTAGCAATGATCAGTAACGGTATCTACAATAGGATTTTTTTTTAAATACAAACAAATGTACTAATGTAAATCATTGTATTTGTAGTTTGCTTGTTGCATGTATGTATGTATGTTTGTATATATGTATGTATTATTATGTATTATGCATGTATGTATGTATGTATGTATGTATGTATGTATGTATGTATGTATGTATGTATGTATGTATGTATGTATGTATGTATGTATGTATGTATGTATGTATGTATGTATGTATGTATGTATGTATGTATGTATGTATGTATGTATGTATGTATGTATGTATGTATGTATGTATGTATGTATGTATGTATGTATGTATGTATGTATGTATGT